AGGGACTGATGTAAATGTACAACAATGTAAAACACTGAGTAAATTGTCAGCGCTATATAAATACCAATAATAAATAAATACATAATTCCCTGTTCCTCATTTTTTTCACGGAATTAAAGTGTCATTCCATAGAAGATATCTTAGTTATAGGTGAGACCTTGTATACAGGGTCAGCCCCGGCTTCTTTCATATCTTGGATACTCCAACAGTGAGATCTCCCTACTATAGTCCCTGACTCTGTCCTGGCCATCTGGGAGTTTTGTGTGTCCCCTCCAACCTTTGTGTGTCCCAGCTTCTTCTTTTGCTTTCTCGATAATATAAAATAAATAAAACATCTCGCAGAGATGGTGGGAACCTCTCATAATGGGCGCTACAAATGTGCAGGCCTTAGAACTCGGAGCAGGGATGGTGGAAGCCTATCATAATAGGGACAGCAGGTGCAGTGACCAGGGAACCCAGCTCAGCAATGATGGGGACCCCTCATAATGGGCATAGCAGGTGCATAGACCAGGGAACCCAGCTCAGCAATGGTGTGAGTCCTTATAATGCTGTAGTGCAGGTGTGCAGGCCTGGGAACTTCGAGCAGGGAGGGTGGGAGCCCCTCAATGGACACAGCAGGTGTGAGGACCAAGTAACTCAGCACAGGCAATGCTGGGACCCCTCATGATAGGCACAGCAGGTGTGCAAACCAGGAAACTCAACTCAGCGATGGTGGAAGCCTCTCATAATGACCACAGCTGGTTTTCAGGGTACTCAGAGCAGGGATGGTGGGAGACCCATATAATGGGTACAGCAGGTGCATAGACCAGGGTACTCAGAGCAGAGAGGGTGGGAGACCCATATAATGGGTACAGCAGGTGCATAGAACAGGGTACTCAGAGCAGGGATGGTGGGAGACCCATATAATGGGTACAGCAGGTGCATAGAACAGGGTACTCAGAGCAGGGATGGTGGGAGACCCATATAATGGGCACAACAGGTGTGCAGACCTAGGCTCAATGCAGATATTTCACCAATATAGAGAATAGCAAGAAATAGAAGAGACTTTCAGGGGGTTTAACTCTCTTGCATCTACCAAACACAGACATATCAGTAGATATAAGCATTCCACCTTGATAAAAGTGCAGGGGACCCCTGAACCCAAAAGCATTCCATGTACAGGCCTCTGTTTGTGGCTCAATTTGGGGGCTGTGACATATCCTTCCTAGAGTTTGCCACGGGAGGCAGAGAAGGAATTACATTGAGAAGGTCTCAGCTCTTGATTAACCTAATGTGCTTCCTCCTGAAATTCATACTCCACCTCCATAGCCCACCACAATGCTTCTGTCCTTTGCTGGTGATCTTCTCTGCACTGGCCGTGGCTGAGAAGTAGATCCCCATATGCGTCTCTGTCTTCCAAGCATCTGTGACCTCAGGATTTGGTCCAATAGCAGTCTATGGGAATCTACTGACACAGACAAAGCCAGCGCAAAGAAGAATTTATTCCGCAGGATGTAAACAAATGGTTGAGGATTGAGGCAAGTATGCATCCGGGGAGTGGAAGAGTGGGGGTCTGTTAAGTCACGGGGGAAGCAAAGAAAGGATAAGTGCACTCATCCTCTAAAGTATAGCTAAACCCTAAATCTAGTTTTCAGTATGTTCGGCGTCATGTCTCTCTGTATACACTTTTCTGAAAGCTGACCGTCGCTCACAAATAGCATATCACATCATCCTAACCCTCCCTATTGCACATTTAGATTTTTTGGGGGGTAGAAAGTACTTTTTTCAGCAGGTTCTCCCACTTCCTCATCTCTCGCCTAGCCCCACCGCCCACACACATCCCGGGATACACAACACACATCATTTTTTTGTAAATCTGGCAGTGCTAAGCCACTTCCTTACCATTGTACCATTGGCCGCATTGTGCGCTCCTTTGGTTGGCCATTGGGCTGCTTCTCAGTTCTATCAGATAGGCAGCTCAAGTGAAGCGGCACCCATGGCAGGCTGACAACACTGCTGCTAATTGCAAGGCGGTGGCTTAGGGCTTGTTCCCACCAAATGCGGATCAGATCTGCATGAGTTTCTGCACACGCAGTGCAGTGTGTTTTGCCGCATTTTTTGCTGCATTTTTAAAGCGTTCTGAGATGTTTTTCTAAAAAAAATAATATGTTTTTTAAGCCTAAAATGGGCTTTCAGTGCGTTCCAGGGCATTTGCATGCATTTTTGATGCGTTTGCATGCATTCCAGAGCAGGAAAAATAGGGCTTGCTGCAGTTTTTTTACATGCTCTGGCACTGAACACTGTGGTGCAGGGGCGTAACTAGAAATCACAGGGCCCCATAGCAAAATTTTGTATGCGGCCTCGTGATTGCTAGTTATGCCACTTGCAGAGCCCACCATAGAACCTCTATGGTGGGCTCTGCAAGGTCTCAGTTTGGCTGCACGCCTCTTACCTGTCACCTCCGTGGTCGCCGCCGCCACCTCCTCTTCCGTTCCCGGGCTCCGCCTCCTTCTATCGACGGGCCCGCCTCCTCTCACATCACTGGCCCCACCTGCTCTGAGATCGCTGGCCAGTGATGTGAGAGGAGGCGGGGTTGCTGTTAGGCGGGCCCCGCCTCCTTCTTTACTGCAAACACCGGTGTAACCGGCCTATTCTGCCGCATCTGCTGGCTGTCACTGACACAGCTCCGCAGCGGCTGTGAGGGGGAACGTTCTCCTTCACATCTGCTGCTGAGCTATGTCAGTGATAGCCAGCACCCAAGACGCCATAGCGACCCAGGCGGCCCACACGGCATCAGAGGGATGCCTGGCCGGGCCCCCCTGTGCACGGGCCCCATAGCGGCCGCCTGGGTCGCTACGGCGATTGTTACGCCACTGCTGTGGTGTGTACAAGAGCCCAAAATGCCACTGGAATACATTGGAAGCAGTTTTGATCTGTTCTGTAACTGCTCCGCTCTGCTCCTGGAACGTGTTCGGTGTGAACAAGCCCTTAGGGCCCGTTCACACCAGATGCCCGATTGTGACCAAAACGCACTGCCTCGAATTGCGGCCGGCTCACTTTTTTGTGGGGTAGGAGGGGCGTGGCGGGCCATTGAAGTGAATGGCCCCGTAGCCACGCCCTCCGGCCGCAATGCGATTAGCCGCACAGGATTGCAAGGCACATTATGCCTGCGGTCCGGTGCGATCAAAATAGTGCATGTAGCATTTTGATCGGACCGGACCGCAGGCATAATGTGCCTTGCGATCCCGTGCGGCCGATCGCATTGCGGCCGGAGGGCGTGGCTACGGGGCCATTCACTTCAATGGCCCGCCACGCCCCTCCTACCCCACAAAAAAGTGAGCCGGCCGCAATGCGAGGCAGTGCGTTCTGGTCACAATCGGGCTGGAAGGCACTGCATCTGGTGTGAACTGGCCCTTAGTGTTGTCAGCCTGAAACAGGAAGTGCTGTCCCTGGCAGGATCTCCAGGTAAGAAACTTTGCAAAAGATTCACAAACAAATTATCACCAAAAGAAAACTGTACGCAGTGAGATATGATGCCAACCATTCTGGAAGAAAACAAAAATAGATTTGGAGCGTAATTACACTTTGGGGTATATTTATAAAGCAATGACTCTGACATTCACCAATCATTTACTGCAAGTGAATCTTCCTGGCTCAGATGCTATAAATGCATTGATTGATTCACCACCAGTGAATGTCTGGTAACATACTTTTACCCTATACTTTGCCCCTTTAAGGTATATGCTGAGATTTCAGTACACTCCTCCTCCTGTTCTGGGGTCCCCATGCCACACAGGACGGCTTTTATCACAGCTAAAAATCAGTGATTAACAACATTGTTCTCAGAGACTGATTTTATCCCATGAAAGCTGGGTGCCGCCATCTTGACTCTGACACAATACAGAGAAGGTAAAGCCAGGGGCGTAACTACAGATCATGGGGCCCCATAGCAACATTTTAATAGGGCCGCATGGCAAACCCTTTAAAATCTAAATCAAGGACAGGTAGCAGGAGACCTGTCTGCATAGTCTCTTCCTGTACATCTGATATCAACTCTTCTTGACTGGAAATGCCATAAGGCGTACAGTGTCAACAGCAACTTCAGCAATCCTTCATGGGGCCCCCCTTCCACTCTCAGGCCCCCGGGCAGCTATGGATATTGTTATGCCCCTGGGTAAAGCCATGCTGTCAATTACAGCCCCCTTGTCAAAGACACCTATGCCCTTCCTGTTACAGTCATGTGACACTGTCTCTGCAGACAGAGGACATGGTCAAAGATGGAGATAAGGGCTTTACTGTTGACTTTTGACAAAAGTCAACATTTGCATATCAGTAACAGTGCTGTTCAATCTAGTTAGGCTACGCATTTGGGGAGAGGAGGAGGAGGGGGACATCTGTAGCAGCGGATGGAGCCGATAATGAAGGTATCACTAGGTTTCCATGCTTAGGGGATGGAAAGGATCACTTTGACTATAAGCTCCCCCCTTATAATGTCTTTATTTCCATGGTCCCTCTGCATGGGAAGCTGATAGTCATACATCTTGTGACATAAATAAGATTTCTGATTCGCTCCGGAGGAATTTATAGACAAAAAATGTGTAAATTTGAAACATTTCCAGAAAGCAGACAAAACAAATGAAGGTACATAATGTCCTCCAGATGGAGATGGAATCGCTGGCATGTCTGTTTCATCATCTCCCACTCTGCTCGCTCCTGCCTGGGCTCATCAGGATACGCTGCTGTCAGAGGATCTGTGGAATTTAATCAGGATCTATCAGGGAAAATATCCATTCGTGGCAGCTGCATGTCCTCAGCTCATCTCAGACTGGAATACATGGAAATATTCTGCACACTTGCCTGTAAGCCCATGAGCAGTCCTCTCCGGACTACAAGACCCAGCAGACTCATGAGAGACACTGGAGCCCCCAGCTCTAGCACAGCCAGAAAAGCATATTATACAAGATGGTTACAGACATAGCAAACTACATGGACTGTGAATTGCTCAGTGGTGGGGGATTAACTCCTAGTTGACCAATGGCTCATTTCACATCAATGTATCAATAATGGGGAGATCTAGAATAAGGTGTTTACCTGGTTCTCCTCATCTAATAAATACCTCCTGGGGTTGTAGTCCATATAATCTGTAATCAAAAAATTAAATGCATAGCTGGGAAAGCTAATAACACAATAGCTGAAAAAGAAGAGTGTACAAAAATGTTGTTGATGATAATAATAATAATAATAATAATAATAATAATATTATTATTATTAATAAAATAATAATAAGTA